AATGGTTTATGTTCATCTGAATATTCTCAAAACGTTTCCATACTGAATACTAAAACAACGGATCGATTGGCCTCGTTAAATTAATAAAATGCGTTGCAAGTGAAACGCAGCTACAGGCGCGTCGTTTCCTATGATCATATTATTTGCGTCAACAGATGTATTCTGACCCTCATTCCTATTAGGTAATACCTAACAATGGTTTCACAAAGCATAAGGTAATGAAAGGTATCGGGCTGGCAGCCGGGCCGCCGCGACGGATCGATACAGACGCGGCCTGCCGCTGCCCTGCCACCTTGTATCCCTGCCAATTCTACACAGATCCGCGCAACGCTAAAGCCTCTTTATACAATATACATAAATGGGGATGGTTGACGAAATACCACGGCTCTATATAAAATGGCCACAAACAGTCGCTAACGATCCAAGATCTCACTTTAAACCAGTTCGCACGACAATCTATTTAGGGAGAGCAAACGGAGTTCATTAAATCCAACATACACATTATATTGACGGCGTATAAATAAAAAAACTGGAATTATAATATCATACTTTATAATCACATTAGATTAGGTGAATTGAATTTCTACTGAATAAGTCTCATTTTTACTGTGAAACGTTCAGAATAATTTTACGCCTCATTGACGTAACACAGGATACATAATAAGTAATGACTACTACAATCAAACGTGACCTCATTACTCTCTACATCCTACGTTATCAAAAATCCCGCAGAATAAACTCCGATATTTTCTATATGTAGCTTGATAATAAAATTACTTGAAATATAGTATATTAATGGTAATATGTTATTGGTACCACAAAAGAACACGACTAAATATCTGAACCAAATACAGGACCAACAGGGTATTAAACTTAAATAAGAAATACAAAAACAGTTCTCTAAATATTAAATCTGTTTTCTTGTTCGCCTAAACAGCGAAAATTTCACATTTCGACGACTTTTTTGTACAATAATAATATGCAACTCAATATATGTTTTATATGTTGGCTGAAAAAACAATTAAATCAGTGAGCATGCTTCGGTTAACTCAACTACAAGAACTATCAAGTTCTGTAGTTCTTTCGGAAGGATATGTGGGCAAAACAAAGTACGTTGCTAAATTATTTGTAGATGCAATTGAGGAACTTATTAGCGACCTTTTAGCACTTACTATCACAACAAAGTAGAGGACGGAGAGATTTAATAGTTCCAAGTATCTTAAGAAGTATGGACATCTAAACCGTACAGACAAAAACTTGAAAGAAATCAGACGTTCAAACCATATTAATACAGATGAAAATAAATTTGCAGCTATGTACATCTTCAGTTTGCATTTTTCCTGTCAGCGTTTCGATTACAGCGTTGAACAATAGTCTGTTCTACTCGATAAAATATTTATGCGGCGACAATGATGACATACAGAATAAGTGTTGTACAGTAGTTCCGTATAAGGAAGAAGTCAGCTTTCCTTAATATTATTCCTGAAATACTATTACTTGGCACTTTCCTAACATGAAATTGACTTTGATTACATATCTCCGCGAAACAGTGAGCCAACAAGAAAATTAATTGCATTTTTATAAATTAGATGCTTAGTTGATCCTCTCTTTAAGGTTCTATAATTCTGATATTTTTGTACTTACATATACTATATGTCACACACGGCTATACAGTTCGAAATAAGATAAAAAGTTCGGTCCTAAGACTAAGTGTGTGCAAATTTATACTATTTTAGAGTGCCAATTTTGAGAATTTATTTATGTCGCGGTTGATCTCTGAAAAAGCAGCACTTACTTATTTACTATTATGTTCAATGTTTGAATTAGTTACGATATGTTATGCAATTGTTGAATGAAGTCGGGATGGGACGGACAGACTGGGATATTATTACGGTTATCACGAAGTTCATATATGCCTTTCAATAAAACCCTATGGCTCAGTGATTTACAACTATCTTTAGAAACTTTTAATATGAAGATTACCTATTTTATCTAGGACAACATAGTTGTGACATCGATCGGCTGGTGAATTTTAGATTATCACTAACAGCCAGTCCCATAACGATAATATTATCTTTCCGTATCTAATGCATCTAATACCATATATATACAAGTAATCTCCTATTATATGTGCAAAAGAATGGTACCGAGGTTCTTTAGCTTTACAAATATCTGGTACCAAGCTTGCTTATCAATTTACAGTGTTAAAAGGGTGATATGGCAGTAAAATTAGAGGGAAGCATGACACTTCTTCAGAAAAGGCATCGTTTACGAGGTACGGGCGTTACATGACGAATCACAACATATCCGCGAGCTCCTTATGTACATGGACCAAGGTTGTCACTATCTATTAGATGTACCATCAAATTTTTTGCCATTCCATCTACATAAAAATTACTTACAGACTTCTACAGACATAAATAAATGTATGCACTTATAGTGTATAAAATAACAATATATTCTGCAATAAATCATCCCCATTGAAGACTTAAGCACATGTGATTTTAGTGTATGTCCACCAGTATGGCCATAAGATTAGCTAATTTATGCAATAAAGAATGAGTCTTAGGAGACGATTATCATCTCTAAAATACATAATAGGTAATTAGTAGTAGCAGGTAGTTCAAGCATAAGCCAGACTACTGCTCAAGTCACATAAGAAACAATAAAGAGTAATGTCTAGAAAAATATACTATAAAGCTGTCTTATCAATTTTATTATGGGCTCCCATCAGCACACGCTGGCGCACTAATCTCATTTCTACAAAACAATAGCTTATTATAAAAAAAAGTTAAATTGTTTGCTGTTTAATATAGTTATATGCTACAACACTTGACAGAACTTGAAGATACATTGTCATCATGCATACATAAACTGAGAGAATTACAATTGTTATAATGTTGGACAAATAATAATATTTTGACAGCTTAATTTTATGTAAGTTCTATTGCTAGGCAATGCCATTTAACTAAGTAGTACCAAAGATGTATTCATATTTTTGTTTGATGTTTATGTGTAAAACAATACTGTAGTTATGCTGCTTACAGTCAGAAAGCTGATTAGTTTCATGATCTAGTTTTGTTAATTGCTTGCATATTGATGTAAATGCTAACAATAAAACTAAGATAAAACTACAATTAGTTTGTTGATTTAGTTTACAAATAAATATGCAAAGTCATATTTAACTTTGTACACTGAAAATATGGATAGAAATATAATATTATCATCAGTCAAGAATGGAAAAATAGACTATGTTCAGAGATTTTATGAGAAATCAAATTTAAAACAATATAACAAATACAAAAAAATGTAGATGGCATATGAACAAAGGTAGCCAAGGATAGAATGAAATAAAGTAAGACAGGTCTAGAAACCAAATGCTGATAGACAAGTTGGTGAATAATGCACAATTAGTTTAAGGATGGTGCAAACAAAATACTGTATTAAATTTGACATGACTATTATTTATAGGTATGGCATGGAACTCAATTAAATTAATAAAACATAGTATGATCCTGTGATTCTTACTACCTGAATAAAAGTAGCATGAATTATCTGAAATATTTCTGGCTGTATTTGTTGCAAATATATTGAAATCATCATTCAATCTGAAATTAAATGTAATAGAAACAGAACAACCCTTTTTTTGCGAAACATTAAGACACAAACAGACATATTTCTCCTTGTATTTTTTGTTTATTGTTATTTCCTCAGTATTTTAAGATACATAATGACAATGAAGTTATAAGGTAGTTAATATAAATTAAAAAATACTACAAGAACAACATTGTCTTTAACATTTATCAACTTAATTCAAGGTTTCAAATCTGGATATAAATATAAGAAAGAAGTACTTGAAGATCATACATAATGAGAATTAATTCATATTAACATAAGAAAATTGAAATGCATCCTAGTCAACCTTTGATAAATTAATAATATAAAGCAATTGGCATAACACCACAACAAAATTTTAAGTAATTATAATAATGATTGAACTGTTACAGGAGGGTTTATATAATGATGCTAAATAAACAAAACATCAGCTTAATATCCCAGCTGAAGAGATTATTTACTTTATCAATTTATTTACTTTATTTTAACTTCTATAATATTCAAAAGGAAACTTAATGTTTCTGGTATTTGAATTCTCATACCATTATTAATATGTAATAAATATATATAAAGATTATGGATATTATTTTATTACCCTACTATTGGCACATAACAACATGATAATGAATTGATTAGAAATACTGTTATGCAAAACCATATGTTATGCAATTCTCAGTTCTAATCTAATATTTCAAGAGCATTATGCAAATGAATATTTAAATAAACAATGTCATAATAAGGTATTAAATTGTTTCAATTTATATATATATATATATATATTTTTTTTTTTAATAAATAAAAAATAAATATACCAAATTTTTTTGCATTTGTTTATTACAGAAATGGTTAAAAACAATGTAATAAAATATTAAAATATAAATACACATATATATGCATTTTTTGTACACTATGCTAATGATGCCTATTTAATGATGACCGGTGTCCTGGGTATACCAGATATAATAATATATAGATTAACACTGACTAAGTATTTAAACCTGTATGCTAGATTATTATAGAGTAGCTAACGAAATAACTATTTATATATTCTCATCTTACTCCCTTACTAGAGATCACCTATACAAAAATATTATGTCCTTAGTGTTTCCAGCACGAAATTAAGTGATAGTAAATATGAAAAAACTCTTGTACGGAATAAATCACAACCTACCTTGAGATAATGATAAATTTTCTATTCTGAAGACATTGTTAATGTTCCATTGTTAAATTTAAAACCTCACACTTCAAAGTTTTTACCTACGCATTTAAATAGTTATCACAAATTTACGACTGGTGTAAGTTGTTTAGTCAATCCCAGAAGGTCTGCAAAGTTCTATTAATTTTCTCTATAATTACTTTGTCTAATATGACGTATATGTACTTACATTATAGGGATTTGTTCGCGAAACAGGAAATCTTCGCTTCGTGACCTGAATTTATACAAATCGTATGTAACAATTAAGACGTAATTTAATGTTAAAAAACAGTTCATTTATGACCAATGAAATTTCAATAGGTTTAAATCGATTATTTTCTCACTAAGTACAATTTCACAGAATATTTTAAGCACATTTAGTTCAGAAAATGTCACAGTATCAATATGAAATGACACTATTCAATTTAGATCCATACTGATTTTCACATCTAGAATGAGAACAAAAACAGCTGGTGGCATTCAACAAAACTCTTTGTGTAGGTATTTTTCAGTTTTCTCATCATCACGTCACGTCACGACTTAACATAACGAAGCACAAACAAAACTCGGCTTAGAGATGAGCAAAAACCGATAATGATCGTATTTTTTGTTATAATACCGATTAATTCCGTATTTCTTTTGCCGTACAGTTTTTGATGTTTCTTGTGACAAATTTAGAAAAATTGAAGAAAGTTAAGGTACAAGCCCCTTAGGATATTAAAAAATTATCTCAATATGAGCATCGTTTTGTATAAATGATATGAAAAGTCACATACTTCAAAGAATTAATCTGGTATTGTAATGTCCAAAGATTCAAGTATGTTTGATAGGTATGTTACTGCAAAAAAAATTTTTTTAGCTTTTTATAATTTTAAAAAGTTCTGTATAGGAAATGGCTGTATTCTCATTTCAAAACAATGTTTTGTAGTATATTACAATATATAAATGGCTCACATAAACATTGCAATTGTTATTTTCCTTAGTTTTAATAACTAAGGTAATGTTATCGTCATACCGAATATATTATATTCTGACCTATAGTATTATTTTGATTAGACGAGTATCATAGCAAGGAACATAGTATAAATTATATATTATATTTTGTTCCTTGTACCACAGTATTAGGCGTCAGTGTTGCCTTCCTGCGTCTATACATTAATACAGACTATAAATATGTTACTCCAAATATTTAAATAATTTATTAATAGCAGTGTGGCGAGGCTAAATACAGAAAAGGACTACGGAAGCTATTTACATTTACACGGTACGATTTTATCAAATATATATAGTTATAATCTACGTAATTTTTCGGGAGTGGCAGGTACCCATGAGGAGCAAAGTGAATAAAAGTACAGATGTCTTTCACATCTACACATAAAAATGTGAAGCCAGAAGCTGGCTAGCGCCCTATATATATATATATATATATATATGTAATCTAACTCCTCCAAATTTAATTAACAATAGCTTTATTGACTGTGATACAGACTATAATAAAGGAAACATTGCTGTACTATTGCTGAATAAAATAAAATCTTTCACAGTTTTAATTATATACATCGTGTGTTGTTGTTATAATACAATTAAGAAAGTCTATAAAAGTAAATTCACATAGTCATCTTCTTTTGATAGACACAAATTTTTTAAAATTTCCGATGGGGAAGGTATATTTTTATCAACTGTTGAAATAGATTCAATAAGTTCTAAATTTGAGTCAAATATTTCAGTGGTCTGCATATTAACTTCTCCAGAGGCTGGCAGTGTCATTTTTTTATGTTCATTATTTTCCTCTCCAAGTGTATCCGCAATTAACGTAAAATTATCAGATTCCATGTCTTCTAAAGAAAGTTTAGCTCCCTTACGAACCAATTCTGCATTAGCTTCAGATATTTCAGAATACATTATATTGTGGGCTCGTTCTTTTAGATCTGTTATTTCAGAATCGGCATGTTTTTTTCTAAGTTTTTCCACGAGATTGCCTACTTGACGTACGACTACACCTGGTGGTTTAGATGGACATTTATGAGTTCGCTGTGACACCTGTAAATTAAACATTATATTATTATTACAATTGCTATATTTAATTCTGATATATGCGTATAAGGATAGTTCTGAGTATGCATTACCTTGTATCGAAAACTTTTTTCGCATGCTGTACATTTGTAAGGCATAACACCAGTGTGTATACGTCGATGAACTAAATATGATACCCTTTGACGGAAAGATTTTCCTGTAATTACAATTTAAACAGATAAATATTACTTAGGGAATAAAAATGAAGACTAATTTATGTTACTTATTTTTTATTCTGTAATAGTCTTATTATTTACAAAATAACTGCATTTAAAAAATATTCCATAAAATTATTTCAAACTTACCACATGTTTCACAAGAGAATGGTTTTTCCCCTGTGTGAATTCTTTGATGATTGTGAAGAGTTGAGAGCTCTTTAAATGAGCGGCCACAATAATTACATGTATGAGGCTTTTCATCATTATGATATAGTAAATGTTTGTGATAAGACTGTTGAAAAGTAAAAGTTTTATTGCACTGCGTGCATGCATAGGGCGTCTCACCTAAAATTATAAAAAGTTAATAAGAAAAATATAGTATGAAGTATGGATACTTGTGAGAAATACAAGATGACTTTAATGTATAGGCTAAAAAGCTAAATAATAGTACTTTTTTGTTAAAGGTGAGTAATTCTCGTTAAATTGCAATTTCAGCGAGCTAATAGAATATTAATTCTCTGTTAGTAGAAATTACCTCCATAAATACACCAATTTGTTAACCTGTGTGAAGACGTTTATGTTTCTTCAGGAAATACTTAGTTGTAAAGAATTTTTGACATACATCACATTGCCATTGTTTATTATCGGTTCTTTCTAAAGTAGATAATTTATCTTCCTGTATTGGTTCTTGTATTTTTCGTTCTGAGTCCTGTATATCTGTATTAGTGATGGAACTATGATTTCTAGACAGAAGTCCACAATGTGCTACTCTTAAATGAACCATTAGAGAACCTCTCATTTTAAAACTTTTAGGACATATATGACAATTGTATCGTGAAATGTTTTGGTTTATATTTCCATCAGTACTATGCATCAAGCATTTATGGATTTTTAAAACATCACCGTCTACAAATTGTAAGCCACAAACACTACATGTTGTATTTGTTTGTATAAGAGTCGTATCTGCCTTTATTACCGGTACAAACATGGGATTGCTGGCTTGTACACATTTCTCTTCAGATGTTCTGGTTATATCTATAACAGGTACAGGGTTAAGAGAAATAACTGGTAACTTGGGATATATCTTCACATATTTTATCGGCATGTTTGTTATCGATAACGTTGTTTTATTTTTAGATCCAGCTGGCTTTGTCTTTTTTTGAAGTGCATTGCTAGTTTCGTTGAGTAACGTAGTGGAATTTGACGTATTAGTAATATTATCTAGTTTTTCTGAATATCCTTTCGTTGTTAATAATTTTACGTGGGTAAATAAGTGTATGGTCAGTTTGTCTAATCCACTTACTTCTTCCTGACATACTTGACACAGTATTTTATTTGTAGAGACATGTATTAGTCTATCTCTAAGTGATTTCACAGAATCGAATACTCCAGTATGTGTACATATTGGGCACGATAAGGATGCTGCTGTACCACTCATTGTAATTACTACAAACACTTTTAGAAGAAACAAATTAATAATATTATTTCACTAATAACGCGTGGTCGGTATGCCGCAGTAGCAAACTGAAGCGCGAAACTAAATCTAATGGGTTATTTTTAGACGACTGCGCATTTATTCTTTTGGCGCCATTTCAAGACAGTTTTCACCAAAGTTTCATTCATAGCATTATATTTATATCATGCGTTTTATGAATAAAACTTAATTAATAACAATTACGTAATTGAAAATGAAACATTGAAAGATGGACGGTTACTTTATTATTAAATTAATATTTTTCATTATTTAATCATGACAAAATAAAGGAATATCAATAATTGTAATATTGTTGCGAGAACCAGGGTGTATAATAGATATAATATAGAATTCGGTAGTGTAAGTTTAGCCGTGGTTGTTTTCTGAGGAAATATATATAAAAAATACCCTGAGCATACAGTCATACTGAAATATTTGTCCCGAATCAAATTAGGATTATCAGAAACCCCGAGACCGTAAATACATCAATTATTTTGTAAAAGCATATGAAAAAAATATTGTTTTAATAATTTAAATGGTTAATTTGTCCATATATTTTAATCACTTGTCATGGTTGAAAGAAATTGTATCCTTGATTAAAATTTCTAGAGACAGTTTCATTTGTCCTCTTTACAGGAGGATGTTCACAGGCACGAGATCACTGCTAATTTATTGACGCCCGTGTTTATTTTGATATATTTTGACATAGGTACATGGTGATAATTTAACAAACAAATTTAGTGTTTTGACTAATTATTACCTTGATTATGTTGTTTACGAAACGAATCTTAAATTGAAATTATTGGTCACGAAAATTTTTGTATATTGTATAAGTATAAAATATACAAAGTTGAAATATAAAAGAAAAGAGACTTACTGGAGACTGAAGGTAAACAAAAGATACTAAATCATTTAAGTAAAATTAAAAATATTCGGAATTTATATAAATGTGTTAAACGATTTTATTGATATGAAGGAAATTTTAATTACATTCGATTCTGACATTTATTTCTATTATGTGTACTATTGTTATATCTAAACAAATTAACTTACATTTGGATAAACTATTTACAAAGAAAAAAATATCTTTGCATTATTAGTTTCGAGTCCTCATTGGTATGAAAAACCAATTGGTACAAAAGGCATAAAAACTTTCGGCGTTTTCAGTGTATCGTTCATATTAATGGATATAACTTAAAAGTTATTTAGTCTTGTTAAAATCTAAATTACCGGTTAGTAAATTTTTCGATTTTGTAAAATGTAAAGTACTTAACAAACATCCCTATGGTTTCTCTTAATAAACATAGTTTATCTGTATTTCTGAACTGTCAATTGATTGTCTACAACAGTCAGTAACTGTCATTCAGGCAATACAAAGTTCTCAAAGTTCGAATTTCGATATTTGAATTCGAATAATGGCGGCTAATTTGTTTGTAACTTCTGTATTATTACATTAATCAATCGCTGTATCGATCAAACAAACTCGTAACATTTTACGAATCGTTTATTATAGAATATTATTTTTTATTACTTGCTGGTACAAGTGTTCTACATTATGGGAGAACAAATAAAAGTTCCTGGTTATATGGCTCAGCTGTTGGAGGAACTAGGCTGGAATCAAGGAACAAAAATTCCTCTAGCAAATCCAAATAATCAAAATTTAGAGACTTTGTTAATTACCAAGTATATTATGCCATAAATATTAATGAAATTTTTGCATTATGTTTAGAATTTCATTACTAAGCAATCAAAAATAATTTGCAGGCAAAATGAAATACAAAAGCTGAAAGAGTCTCTTATTCTACAGAACCAAAAACGTGAAGATTTATCTAAATATAAAGATTATATTCATTCTGAATATCAAGAAAATAGTGTGAGTATACAAATTTTAATTATTATGTTTAACCCATTATATTTATTTTCAACATGATCCAAAGTTAAATATGTTTTACTTTAAATTAACAAGTAATTTCTTTATATTACAAAAGAAATTTATATATCCTCTCAAGTCCTTGGCATATGTATACTTTATATTCCTTAGATAAAAAAAAATATAATTTTTGAAGAATTACTACAATCTCATATATCTTATGTAGACCTTTTAGTTGTTTTTTTGTTCAATCCCAAAAATCTGGATGGATTGGTATAATAACATCATTTTCTGCTTCTTCCGTACATTTATTTGGTGTTGGCTTAATAACATTTATATAATATATATTTTTTTTAATTTTAGAGACTCCTGTTTGCACATAAGCAGCAGCTGGAACAAGAAGTCAAGTTAAAACAGCTGTCTTGTAATGAAGCTGATCGTCTCGACAGGGATGTTGTAGACAACAATAAACAGAGCAAGGATATAAATGGGCGTATTGATCGACTGCAAAGTATGTTATAATATTTAAGGACTAAAAGAAAAAATAACTTTATTATATATCTGTCTGTCGCACACACATTACCTCAATTCCAAAAATATTTAGAGGTATCCCAATATTATGCCACTTATAATGGGATAAATCAGTAATTTGTACCTTTGTGACATGCCATATAATTATGATAATGTTCTTATGAAAATATAACTACTTTTATAGAGGTGGACTTACTAAACATTTGGCTATGAGATTGAGGTGCCTCAGTCTCACCCCAATTTCAGCTAACAAGCAGCATTCTCTGTACCCTGTGTGCTTATTTTTGTGCTAGGTATTACTATATGTACTCAGCTACAACTTTATAGTTGAGTACACTATTCCATTATCATCCATAATGGAATAGTGCACCTGCCTGGGCTAATAGTCTATGCTAGCAGGGCACAAGTGTAGGATGATAAAGTGAATATGAGGTCAGGTCGTTTAACCCATCATGACATAATCAACAGGAATTTATGACAATGGTTTCCAGGGTTAACCATACGGAGGTCAACCTGACATAGTACATTGCTAGTCATGGTTGTTAATCCACATTACTGACAATCCCCTTCCCCTCTGAGTATAATAGTATTGGGCATGGGATGGCATAACATAAAAAATTAAGCTTAGTCCTAAATATTCCTCTATTTGCTTTCTGATATTAGCGCTGAGATTGTGCTTACAAGTTCAAGTACATTCTATTACCTAATTACTTGTATATAACATTAACCATTAATATATATTTTATTTATCAATAAACTACACATTGTTATATATTGTACCCTCTACAAAGCAAACCTGTATCACTCATGCAGAGTCCACAAGTGAATTAATTGCCAGACAATATTTACTATTGTATATTAAATATTTTGTAGTCAATATTGCAAGACTTTTGAAGAAAGCAGACTCTCTCAAAAGTGAGGTATGTGGGGAGCGTGGAGCCCTACAAGAGTGGCGTGCAGCTCTTGAAAGAAATGCTGGAGACATTACAGCTATAGAGCAGTTTACTAAGCAAGACCTTTCTAAAGCTAAGGTAATATAGTTTCAGGTATTGAATTTATTATGTATAACTATACCATGTGCGCTGTAGCATAGTAGCGGGTGTTCTTCACTCTTAAAAGTTACCACAATTTACAAATTATGACTTAGTATTTCAGCTGTACCACATTTGTAATATATATATCAATTGTTAAATGTAAAATTAATAACTGTCACCTGCACCATGCTACAGCGTACACAGTATTGCAACATTTAGTTGTTTAATATACCAAAAGCTAACTCTCTCAGTAACCAGACCACCAGATCTCAACTCAAAGACCCTAAAGGGCTGAGCACTGACATGGCATGTAGAGTATTACAACATACTCCTAAATGCATTACAATAGCCATGCTTAACAACATAAGCATGTTAGAAAAGTATGTAATTGGTTCCCTGTACAAACTTTCAACCCCTAGCTCTTTATGTCTATTATGTCTACAACAAATAACGTCAAAAATTCATAGTTCATTACTCTTTTAAATTTATCATCAGGCGTTGGAAACAAAGAGACAAAAACTAAAAGTGGAACATGATCGCGTACACGATAGACTCAGTCAACTGGTTTCCAACCTCAATGCAGAAGAAAGAGCGTGTGAGAGAATATCTTTGCAGGTATGTTTGTCATTGATTTCTGTATAAGTTGCATTACAATTAATGCATAATTCCATGCCTTGTAAATTTAATTTCTTGGTATGTTCTGGATTGATGTGAAATATATTTTTTAGTTTATCTGAACAACTCTTGGATTTGATTTATATATATTCTTCAGCTTTGATATTCTTTATTGTTAATTTCCTACGATTTGCTATTTGCAAATCGTAGGAAATTTATCAAAAACAAATAACTCCTGTGTCATCAAAAACAAATAACTCCTGTGTCATCTTGATTGAAGTCAGTTCTATTATTATTATTATTATATAAGTATGTACAGGAATTTAATAAACTAGATTTTTTTTCGCAACAATTGTTTTCACTTAATTTTGAAGTCCTCTTACAGAGAATCTCGCCTCATATGGACAAATAGTTACATTCTAAAATAATTAATTTTATAGGTGATGGAGGGAATGGAACAAAGGAAGCAGATGATGACGATGTGGGCAAATGCCGTTGAGAATTTGAGGCAGCGTGACACAGACATCAGACATATTAGAGAGGTAAAATGTTATGTAAAGTGAAAGAACAGACAAGAAACTTAGCATAGTTCCTTGTCTGTTCTTTTTGGGTCAAAACTATATTCCAAACAGACTATAGTTTTGATTTATTATAACTCTTATAGACCTACATGGATAAAGATATTGTTATTTGATTCTCGTCTCACGGTCGGCGTATTGCTGATCCGTCTGAGAGGATACTCAGTGAACCAATGTTACATACATTATAGATGTCTAATATTTTCATAGGTATAGTAATATCTTAGTTATGTATTAACGCATGGTATGCTTTTGTATGTATATTTATAGGGATATATATATATTTATTTGTGTATGTATTATAAAAAATATATTATTAATATTATTTGCACAACCAACAACTTATCTCGCCACCAACTATGGTTGACTGGTTGAAAATGCCACTAGCTGTTAAGTCCTATATGTACTTTTACCACTGTATTACGTGTTACATAGAAATAAAATCTTTTCAGGACTATGATGTCTTGGAGGCAGAAGCTAACAACATTGCGGAGCAATGTCGGGAACAACAAACATTTTGCGACCAGCAGCGTGGTAACAATGCGGACGCTGATCGCGACAACATGTCGCTCGCACAACAACTCAGCAATGTCAGGATGGCCTTCCAACGGATCACTGATTACAATATGACTTTGGACAGTGATGTAAGTGAATGATGATGTTTGTTAATTTCCAGTGCATTTGCAGTGGCGGGATTTCATAATATTTTTGAATTGATTATTTTTAGCTTATGTACCAATATACTTAACATATTTTTGGATAAACGAAATAATTCTTAAAATCTGTTTGGTAATTTCTGAGATTAACTGAGTTTCATTTAATACTATTTAAATTTTATTATTATCAACGCAACCTGTTACGTCCCACTGCTGGGCATAGTAGCCAGTATATTATTATTAATATACCCATCATTTATTTGTCTATTTGTAGTAAGAAAAGTGGCTTAAAAGAAAGTTTTAAACATAAGTCATGTTTTCTGCTATTAACCGATTTTATAAAACGGTTTTATTATTGCTACAGTAACGTATCTAGATTGAGCAATTGCTTATTGTCGTATACAATATTAAGGTATTTAACCTAATGATATTAATTTCTTTTTATTCTGTACAGGTGCATTGTTTACAACGAGAGCTAAGTAACATGCGCGGCACATCAGAGAAGCTTCACATGGAAAACCGGCAAATAATGGATGATCAACATCGTAAAGATATCTTACTGCAAGCAATTGTTAACAAGGTTCCCAAATTATTTATACAATTTTGACGTCTATTTTATATAGGTATTTCAATAAATTATAATTATATATAGACTCTTTGTAACCCACAAAAATGGAGTCTCGTTCTTGTGACATAGGTGGTACATGGACAGAGTCACTACGAATAGAGCGATATGGAAAATGTTGAAGGGCTGTTAATTAGAGGCATACAGTACATAATTAGCTTGCTATGTTTCAGTTGTATTGTCATATTAGACAGTATAACTACAGGATAAGAGGCATGAATCCACTATATGTAATATGTATAGCACTGTGTAATCCTATAGAATATCAACACATGAGTGGTATAATAGAAATCTATACTTAAGAATTGTCTCTCCTTCATTACTATCAACACATAGCCATCACTGGGTAAGTCTAGTACCCGAAATTTGGAATATAGGTTTATTTTTAACATAAGTTGAAGACTTTTCTGTGTGGAAAAAGAATGCTAACAGTGTTGCGTAGATAAACCCATTGGAAACAGCTAGTCCACTATTATGAAATCAATGTTTTGACATATTTTCGTTTGTATTCCAGATACGAGATCTAAAAGAGAAATTAACAGATTCACTGGACAGGTCTAAGTCGTCCGAAAAAAGAGCCAAGGAACTAGAGGATATGTTGAATGTAAGTAGATTGTCTATAAGATTAGGCAAGCATAAATCCGTGGTAACTTGAAGCTTAGAAAAATCTGGAATATTTTAAGTACACAGTGTAGAATATTTTTTCGAGAGAATACATATAGAATCTTTTTTAAATTCTCTATTTTGGTTAAATAGGAAGAGGAGCGTTATGCCAGTCAAATGACAGTGAACCAACAGCGCGCAATGCATTGCTCGTTTGTTGAACAACAGAAATTACTGTCTCTTAAGAATGAAGAGAAACTATTCCATATGCAACTTAAAGGTAACAGGGAGTTATTTATCATTAGTAATGAAAAACTAACTGCCCAACATGATTGAAGGTAATAACTATCATTTGGAGAGATTGTTAGTAACAGGAACTAGTGGCGTTATTGTTAATAATGAACTTTGACAGGTCGATTTCCATACGTTCCTTCTCTGGAAAACATCGAGTGAATGGATAATTTTATTCTCATACTAATTACTTTTCACTGGTTCCCAGCCAGTTACCGTTACCGTTAGTTGATACTGTTGCAATATTGAGTTGTAACAAAATTTTTGACGCAACTTTATCTACATCATATTATCCCCGTTTTTGCAAACTGTTGCCGCTCCTATTGGCTGTAGCGTCATATTATATCAACTATAGCCTTCCTCGATAAATGGGCTATGAAACATTAAAAGAATTTTTAAAATCAGATCATTAATATCGGAAATTACTTTTAACATGCAAAGTCATAGATATAGAGATAAAGTTGCCATCTCTATATATTATTAGTAAAGACTGGTTAATATAGTATGCATTTTTTGCAGCTTCGAAGGCTACAATGAGCAAATTGGACACGAAGCAGCGCGACGTGCAAAGAAATTTGCAGAGTCAAAAGGAGTCTTTATATGCCGTTGTTAGTACTTATTTAGTCAGATTTACACATAGTACACATGTTACGTATAAATAAATTTTGGAACATATGTATATAAAATTCAAGAACCTTGTATAAATAAACTGATTTACACGGTAATTCTACCTATCTTTGACCTCTACCATTTGATTATATAAACCTAATAAATAATGCTCTGAGTTTAAAAAAGCTGAAATCTTCTATTTTTGAGTAGTGTCAGTTTTATTTTTCTCACAGTGTTATCAAGTGGAGACTATTGGATCTCGCGTATCTCATATGGAAGGTGCACAAGCGGAACGTGAATGCTCCGCGGAGTTGGTAGACAGGGAGAACAGGTACATTTTGTAAAGTCATACCGACAGTTTTATTCATATATATATTCGTGTCGTAGCGTCAAATCTTTTTATAATATACTTGTTCTGCAACATTTTTCACCAGCCAGGTTTAAATCAACGATCTCTTAGATGTAAAATTTTACAGATCTATATTTTTTTTATGTAATAGGTATGACAACAATGCCATATATATGTATATGGCAGCACCATGTATATATGGTACATTGTACTTACTTTAGCAGTACATGTATATCATGTCACCATTTCGATGAATTGAAGTGTTATGCCTCCGCACGCTGTAATTTTACTGCCTAATCTCACCCTTCAACCAAAACACTGTTTACAAGTTGCTTGGTAGCGGATTTTGGTGAGACAGAGATGCCAACGTAGACGAACTTCTACATGCCTTGATCAAACTATCTGCGCAATGATTACTCGTTCTGTTATATTAAATTTTTTGTTTTCTGTATGTTATGGTGATTGTATAGGTTGAAGGGCGTGTGCGCCCGGCATGCGGCACGCGTGGCATTGCTCGAGCGACATTCGGCGCGGCTGTTGGATGACATGCGGCGGCTCGCACGTGACCTGGAGACCAAGAGTGCCTACCACGACAAGTTGGTATGTAACTAACATAATAATAATAACCTTGAACATCTAACACAACGCCATCAAGACCCACTGTAGTCTCAAGCAGAGCTTGTGTTATGGCAGTGGCAATCCGTGAGGAACTAGCCATTATTATTGCTAAAAGTTGCATATAGATGGCGTGATTGGTATCGATGGAATTCTTCATAGTTTTGCAAACGTTTTAAAAAACAAAACTGTGTTTACAAAAATGTTTAATCAATTTTTAAAAAGTTATATATACATGTTAAAATGAAATAATGCGTTTAGAAAAGTAATTTTCATATATTTACTCATTTTGTTATTTTCCAGTACTTAATTAATTTAATCAGTGCTAATACGGGGCTCAATGTTTTCAAAATGCTTTCATAGATGGCATTGTCGTCATTTGTATCGGCCTGATTAAATGTCTTTTTTATATTTTCCAATAATAAGCACTTAATATATTATTATTGTAAATTAAACATATAAAAAATTTTTAAGTAAATTAAAAATAGCCGAACAAGCAAGTAATACTATTTCCAATAATACTTATGTATGAAGTGTTGTCATATTAAAAATAAATACATGTATTATCGATCTTTTTAAATAATCGATAACAGGATTTTATTACAGCGCATTATTCGATAATGCTTTTAATGAGACCGTTGTGAACAGTAAATTTTCATTATTTCGTATTATAGCAGTGTTCCGTTTCAAAGAACGGGATATAGTAGTACATTATTAGTGTCGTTGGTTATTTACATTTGTACTGAAAAATCGATTACATAATAATTTAAAATATCGAGTACGAATCGTAGCTGTCTTCGAATACTGGCAACTGGTAAGATTAAAATAGTATTTAAAAAAAAGAGAGAAATCGACCCTAACTCGAATACCATAAAGTTGATTTTCCTTTCTCATTAATATCATAGCAGTTTGTTTTTAACTTGCGTATGACTCTGTGGTATGATGTTTAACGTGTATTGTTATTGTACGGTGCATACATTTCAAAAATTATATTGTAATGTAGGTACATACATTTCTTTCATACATTTCATACATTTCAAAAATGAACTTTTTATGTAGGTACATACATTTCTTTCATACATTTCAAAAATTATATTTTAATGTAGGTACATACATTTCATACATGTCAAAAATTATCTTTTAATGTAGGTACATACATTTCTTTCATACATTTCATACATTTAAAAAATGAACTTTTTATGTAGGTACATACATTTCTTTCATACATCTCATACATTTCAAAAATTATATTTTAATGTAGGTACATACATTTCATACATGTCAAAAATTATCTTTTAATGTAGGTTCATACATTTCTTTCATACATTTCATACATGTCAAAAATTATCTTTTAATGTAGGTACATACATTTCTTTCATACATCAAAGATATCTTTTATTAGGTACATGTAGATATTATTATTGTAGATATCGATGTATACAAGTAATTCTGAATATTATCAAGTTCAAAATAAGCACACATTACTGGCTTAGATAATAGAGTAATATTACTTGTAATAAAAACATTTGTGACACCCATATGTATACATATTACATAGTAAGTACTTACACCCGTGCCGTGAGACTCATCTAAGCGTACAGCGCATGCGCGTCGTGCGGTAACCGCACCGACGGACCAATAGGAGCGCGCCTCTCGCGCATCCAGAAAGTTCGCGACTAATGGACGGTATAGTAGTAAAGCAATGAGTGTTCCAGTGACATCATTATAATATTTTCTCGTTAAGTTTTATTGTAATATACATAATTTCGTACTAAGTAACGTGTAACGGGCGTGAAAGCGAGACAAACAGACAGAGTTACTTTAGCATTTATAATATTTGTAAGAATATCGCTATTAAAAATAGGGGTTGGTGAAAGACGGGCCAAAATTTAGGCGTGTATGTAACATTATAAATAAATAAAAAATTGTCCATAATACAAAAAAAAAATTCAGGGTAGGCCACCCCTATGACTTAGGGGTATAAAAAATAGATAACAACCCTACCTCAGACCTAGCAAGTATACATATCAAATTTCATCAAAATGTGGGAGAAATATGGCAACTAACACTGTGATACGAAGTTTATATATAAGGTATAGCGGAATTCTCATTAGGGAAAAGAGGGGTACATCGTAGAATACATGAGGTATATACCAGTAAATACATTGTAGCTAAAACCAGTCTCTTACACATAACGATTGAAATAAAAAATCATATAGCCCGATGTTGATACGTACGAGTATAAACGTATCAAAATCGGGCTATACGTATAGCGCAGACGCGTTACAACATATCTTCGTCGAGAGAAAAAAATAGGCATGGAATGTAGAATAAACTATAACATAATATATACATTGGCACATAAGCCATATCTGCAGGGTATCGGCTAACGATATTATACCTACACATTTACATTGAATCTTGAATCGTCCCTAATGAGGTACACGATACAGTTACCTACATATCTTGTATATACCTATCTTTGCAAAACAGATGTCATGTAGACTGAATTGACTGCCATCTATTTTCGTGCTTTGTTACTAAGCACCCACTAGTAATCCGAACTGCTTCAGATCTAGAGACATCTAGCGGCTACGGCGGCGAAATAAAATAGCCCGAAGAATAGCCCGAGTTAGGAAGGAACCATTTTCTTGTATGGGATGGGGTATCTGTATGTAATATTATGTTATCTGTGGTTATGGATAAACAATAAACAACTGATATAAATACTTCTATAGTTTTTTTATAAATACAAACAAACAATCATACTCATGAATACACATGATTGCACCGTACGAGGAATCGAACCCGCGACCATCGAAAGTAAAGCGGTGTGGTAAATCACTAGACCATCGAGGCCATCATTGTAAGATAAAAGGTCATCTGGAATCTTAATAAATTCTATTATTGTTTTCAGCGAAGTCGTCTGAAGTCGTCGATGCTGAATGTGGAAGGTGGTGATAAAGATTTGCGTGCATCTCGCGACGCATGGCGGCGGTCTCGTGTCGAGGAAGCGCTTATGAGACTACGGGTCGCACAGGCGGAACGCGCACTCGCTGGTCTCGACGATGCCGCCTATACTATTGACAAACAGCGATTGCAACTTGATGCGGTGAGATTTTAACAGCGCTGCAATGAATTTAGGAACAATGATTGCCACGTGTATCTGTTAGACTTTAAAAGGAATTAAGCGAATGCAGCGCTGCAGTGAATCTATAAAATCAGATGGCAACTTATGTTCTGAGATTTTATCATCGCCTCAGCGCGCCATGCGCTGCAGTGAATATACAAATAGTGACTGTAAGTAGATGCCGTAAGATTTTAGAAGCACTCAAGCGAACGCAGCGCTGCAGTGATTCTACAAAAAAGACCTGAATCTGTAGCAGCTATTTGTCGAGTGTGAAGATGAAATTGACAGATGGCCGTTGAGGCAGTAAAGTCCTCGAGTGGCGACCACGGACCGGAAGACGCAGCTTTGGAAAGCCTTCAGCAAGGTGGACCGACGATCTGGTCAAGATCGGTGGAAGGCATTGGATGCGAGCAGCGCAGGACCGATCGTCGTGGAGATCTTTGGGGGAGAACTATGTCCAGTAGTGGACGTCTTCCGGGCTGCGATTATGATGATGATGATGATGATGAAGATGAATGTTAACAAATATAGAATAGACATAGTGTCTATTATGTCTACAGAGCCAGGCGGTTTGTTACAACAAGCAAGCAGGCAATACTGCAACTATAAAATCTTGTTTGATTATATAAATGAGATACCAAATTTAATTCTGGGCTAAAATATCCTGGATGTCAATGGAGATGATAGATGATCAAGATAGGAGATGAGCAAGTTTACACGGAAAAAAGAATTGCAATAAATGAAACTATTTTGATGTATCTATAGAGCTTATGATCACCCTCTTATAATTTAAAATATTGTAATTCTCTTTTAATTAATATTAGCTTCCGAGTCTGTCTACTATAATTAAAATTTGTTTCATACATTTGAGTTATAGAAATCAGTTTATGATATTAGGTTTTTTACAGGCAATGAACGAGCGGCTAGTAGAAATATCAGCGCGCCGAGACATGTTCAATATACAGAAGCGCACCTTAGTTGAGGACTGCGGCAAGTTGCGAAGCGAAATTAAGGAACGAGAACAACGGATAGAACAACTTAAAAAGAGGTGATAGTTTATCTGTAATTAGTAATACTGTTTTCTCATGTATGGTGTAGTGAAACACATATGTCATTTAAGACCTGATTAACAATATAATCTTATCTATACATCTATACATATAAATAAAATTGGAGTGTCTGTTTGTAATATTGAAATAATCGTTTTTTACTACATGCATATGAATATAAATACGGTAGATATACTAAAAAAACACTTTACAATTTTTGTCTGTCTGTCTGTCGATCTGTTTGTTCCGGCTAATCTCTGAAAGGGCTGGACCGATTTTGACGGGACTTTTTTTGACACGTAGCTGATGTAATAAGGAATAACTTAGGCTACTTTTATTTTAGAAAAATAATATAAATTCCACGCGGACGAAGTCCCGGGAACAGCTAGTTTATCAATATAGTCATAATTGACATCGCTGTAACTCTAATCACCTTGTGACCAGGACTGGTGCAACCTGGTGAAAACGTCGAGAGAGGTAAATTCTTCATGGTTAACAATATAAATAATGCATAGTGACGCGTATCTATTGGTAAACATTTTTGTCACTTATCTACGCTATCAGGATTCATAGAACTGCCAGTCTATTCTGGAAAGCAACACCATCCAATGACATTAGTGATCATTTTATCGTCATGCGAAGCTCGGTATTGTTAGTTTTTAAGTTACCAGCTTGGTACTGTTAAAAACAATGGCATTATGATTCTTATTAGAATTAATATTGCAGATATGACATATATATTGGGTCTCTCGGAAAAGACGACTGTGGACAGCAGCTATCTGTGACCTTCTTTAAAGTCAAGGTACATATTTTCAAATATGTAGTAATAAGTTTTAATTTGGAATTGCTAACATGATAATTTGACTGCCTCGCTGGTCTAGAGGTTTAGCACACCCCTTTACTTTCAATAGTCTCGAATTGATTCCTCACGCGGTACAAAGATTTGTATTCATGTTTATATTTGTTTGCATTGGTCTGGGTGTTTCCTATGTATATTATGCTATTTTTACCAAAAAAATGTGTCTACTATGTGTGTTATTTATAACGGCTATCAAATCCCATAACACAAACTACTTATCTTGAGACTAGATGGCTTTACGTGGATTTGCAGAGTTGTATTATTACAACAATAAAAATATTTTGTAGTTTGCTGTTCTACAGCACAAGTGCATTATTCTGAATTTAGAAAGGTAGAAAATACATTCTTATGTAATATTTTTGTAAGGTGAACAAGTGACCGCTAATAAGCAATCCCTGTTAAAGAAACGTAATATAATGCTTATATTTATTTTTACGCAAGTTCGCAGCTGAGCGAGCAGAGCTGCGCGCGCGAGGTGCCGCATTGGACGTGGAGCTGGAGCGGCGAGCACGCGACCTGGCCGCGCTGGAGGCCACGCTGCGAGTGGTACACGCCGCGCACGGACGCTTCGTGCAGGCCGTCGCGCCCCTGCCCGCCCACAGTACTACCTCTCGCCTCCTACACTAGTACCGGCGACCTGGCCGCGCTGGAGGCCACGCTGCGAGTGGTACACGCCGCGCACGGACGCTTCGTGCAGGCCGTCGCGCCCCTGCCCGCCCACAGTACTACCTCTCGCCTCCTACACTAGTACCGGCGACCTGGCCGCGCTGGAGGCCACGCTGCGAGTGGTACACGCCGCGCACGGACGCTTCGTGCAGGCCGTCGCGCCCCTGCCCGCCCACAGTACTACCTCTCGCCTCCTACACTAGTACCGGCGACCTGGCCGCGCTGGAGGCCACGCTGCGAGTGGTACACGCCGCGCACGGACGCTTCGTGCAGGCCGTCGCGCCCCTGCCCGCCCACAGTACTACCTCTCGCCTCCTACACTAGTACCGGCGACCTGGCCGCGCTGGAGGCCACGCTGCGAGTGGTACACGCCGCGCACGGACGCTTCGTGCAGGCCGTCGCGCCCCTGCCCGCCCACAGTACTACCTCTCGCCTCCTACACTAGTACCGGCGACCTGGCCGCGCTGGAGGCCACGCTGGGACCGCGCTGGAGGCCACGCTGCGAGTGGTACACGCCGCGCACGGACGCTTCGTGCAGGCCGTCGCGCCCCTGCCCGCCCACAGTACTACCTCTCGCCTCCTACACTAGTACCGGCGACCTGGCCGCGCTGGAGGCCACGCTGCGAGTGGTACACGCCGCGCACGGACGCTTCGTGCAGGCCGTCGCGCCCCTGCCCGCCCACAGTACTACCTCTCGCCTCCTACACTAGTACCGGCGACCTGGCCGCGCTGGAGGCCACGCTGCGAGTGGTACACGCCGCGCACGGACGCTTCGTGCAGGCCGTCGCGCCCCTGCCCGCCCACAGTACTACCTCTCGCCTCCTACACTAGTACCGGCGACCTGGTCGTACACGTAAAAATACTTAAAAACAAGCACTGCTGTACACAAAATGACTATTTATTATATATGTCATTTTTCTTTAACATTGTATACAAAGTATCAACCGAATCCTTTTGTCCAACAGTGGTCACATGTCGAGCTAAAAAAGGCGAAATGAAAAGAAAGTATAGTTGTCCTTATTTTTTACGCAGCGCCTGAAATAGAAGAATTGAACGGCCTGACGAAACAATACTACGAAATGCGGGACGAGCTTAAAGAATTAAATACGGAGATCGCTGCGCTGGAGCAGGCGATCAGCGATTCAAACTCCCGCCTTACGATGCTTTCAGACAAGTGCAAGCAACTCACCGCAAGAGAGTAAGACAGTTATTGCTACATCGTATGAGATATTGTTATCGGGTGTTATAGTTTATATAGAACTATTGGTCGAAATTCGACTATAATTAAATATATACAAAGTTCTTTGAACCCTCATAACACAATAAACAAAAGTCGATACATGGTACTGTGTGTGTCAAATACGTGGGACGTGGGTTGTTTTTTATAATACTTTTAAGCACTTTTTTGTGCTTGTTTTAAAAAAATATTAACTATTTGCACTTTTTCTCTGTATAAACTATGTGTCCAAAATTTCAAACTCCTCCATCCCCGCAATTTTAATAAAAAGGGGTAGAAAGTTTCTTCTTCATGTATTAATATATAGATATTCTTTCTTATGGATAGATAATTTACATATAGATCAGATAGTCCTCTGTCTCCTGATATATGTCTCATACATTGTACACATTACTTATTATATATATTATTATTAGTAATCTATTTATTTTCCAAATTATGATGCAGAGCCGAGACTGAAAATGAATTGGAGAGCGCAAGGGAGCGCATGACGAGACAGGAAATTCGGCTGCAGAATGCACGAGAGGTTGTCAGGCACAACGCTAGGAGGGCGCAGAAACTCGTTGAGGGAGTCGACGACTGGCGGATTTTCCAAGTATTTATTTATTTATTTATTAACTGCCTACTCTCTTTCGATATGCGTAACGCTTACGTAATTTAATAGTCATTCACTTTACATACTTTGTTTTATTTATGTGGGCATATTGACGATAGTAGTTGTACTGTATCTATGTCTTCCTAATAATCGGCTCTCAGAAACACATGATGTCAACAGTGTGCGCTAGAGACAACATGACGTTTCTTTGTTTTTCCCGCATATAGAATACTAAACTAACTTTTAGCATCATAAAATATTACTAAGGACCATGGTGTACTAAGTAAATTCTTATATAATATAAAATATTTTTTTTACTATATGTATATCTCTGTTCTGTGTTTTTACTTATTTTTTAACAGTACGATTTAGCCCTCCCAGCTCTTTGTTATTTATAAATCTGTGTGATTTATGAACCTACATATTATCTAATATATAAACATCATAATTAAATAACTAATGAGTATATTCCTTTTAACATATCCTAGACACACATATATTTAAATTATCTTATTCTAACTTCTCCTAAGTTAGAATACTTACGGGGAATGGTGTTTATTAGGCTATTTTATTCCTCGAAGTATGACACTTACATATTAACTTAAGCTACTAGATATCTTAGACCAGCATTATTTACTAAAATAAATCAAATAATATAGATGGCACTACGGGTGCGCGACTATGCAGAAGCTGCGCAGACAGCGATGCAATCGCTGGGCGAGCTGTGCTCGGCAACTGACCAGCAGTACTCGCGCTTTGCAGCGCTACTCGCCTCCACTGACTTGCAGCGACACCTATCGCCACACCAGCGACGTCTGAACATATTTATACAACGGTAACTATATTATTGAATATTATGTGTCCATCTTATATATAAAATTCTCGTGTCACAATGTTAGTTACCATACACCTCCGAAACGGCTTGATAAATTTTTATGACATTTTTTATGCATATTCAGTAGATCTGAGATAATTTCATATCCCTAAGTGATAAGGGCTGGAGCTGTCTATCGCAAAAAAAAAAATTGTGGAAACTTTTTATTTTATTTATAACGTGTCATTAAAATACACATATAACCTTAAATTTTCACCCTTCTATCACCAACCCCTATTTTTTTAATAGCGATTTTATTTTATATGATTTTGGTCATATAAATTAAAATCGCTATTGAAAAATAGGGGTTTGCGGGGTCAGCTAGTAACAACTTAAGATGATACATTATTGTTCACAGAGTTTTAACAGACACTGCATCGAGCCAGCACAAAGAGGCCGGAGGAGTTGAATTGGATGGTATTCAATTATTATGTCAATAATAAAAAAAACTGGTTATATAAACTACCAGTTGTATTGTTTCTGTCTGCCGTACATACAAGTAAAGTAGTAGTTGATAATATTGTTATTAAAGAGTTAATAAGAATAACCCATTTTACACAGCGCCATCGAGATCAAAGCTAAGCAGTGCTGCAGCTACGGGTACTGACCTGCTGATAGAAATGTATACTTAAATACATTATAATATTTTTGTAATTACATACAATTGTTTATATCATGCTAGGAATTGAACCGCGACCATTGGAAGTAAGGCGGTATGTTAAATCACTGGGAGCACCGAGGTCGTCAAATAATATTATTTAATAATTACTACAGTGCACTTTAGTCAGGCGTATTTAAATTCTTTTGTTGTGACGGCGACGTATTTTTGAATTCATGACCTTAAGAACTTCGTGACAGACATTGGAATATTAAAAAACCGTTTAAAGAATTATTATCATTCATAATGTTGACGTATTTCTTTATAGTTATTTATAGATGTATTACAATTATATATTTAAGTCTTATATATACATATGTTATTTAATTATATTCATTGTTATAGTTTTGTATATGATTTATTTAATATATAAGTATATCGATGTCTCAATATTATCCTTATTTTTATACACTACTGTATAGGCTGTTATATAGTTTTGTGGTTAACTGGAGAAACTTTTTTTTTTATAACACAGAGGACAAACGAGCATGCGGCTCACCTGATGGTAAGTGATTACAGCCGGCCATGAGCACCCGTAACACCAAGGGAATTGCAAAACTCTCCTTATATAGATCAGCTCTATCAGCTGATCAGCTTTCTTTATTTACTTATTAACTGTTTATTGCACCAATGGTAAATTATAGAGCATAAATTAATGTAATAAGATATAAAGGGTGGTCTTATAACATAAGCAATGTACATGCCTACAGTCTTTGTACATTTAGGTAGATAGATAACATACAATAAAGAAGACTTAAACAATTATGAAAGAAAACACGTATTATGTATAGTTACCATAATGCGATTACATTTCATTTATGTATTTACCATTACTTTATGTAATTTTCCAGGCTATGCAATAAATAATGAATAATATTATTTCTGTTACCAAAATGGAAAAAGCGATGACTTAATATTTCAGATTCATTATTTTATTTTATAGATTCTGTTTTTTCCTCATCAAGTGAGTCGACGAAGAGCGGCATAAGTATTGCTAGTGGGTATACGAAGAGAATATCAGCATTCCGGAGAAGCCTCGCTCCTAAAGTACAAGAAAGCGCTGTAAGTTTTATTATATTATTCATTTATTGCAATAAAGAAGTTACCTAGTAGATAACGTGCTCATTAACATTGCGGTCACTTAGAGATAGTAGGTATGTGGTGTGATAAAAATTAACAAGACTGTAATGTTATCTATAGCAGATAATGTTTGAAAGTAGTTAGTGAAACGTTAAACAGTTAAAGTTTTAGTATAATATTTATATAATACTAAAACAAAACTGTTAAATATGTATATAATATATAGTATTTTTTATAACTTGGGGATAATCTATGGGGTACTACCGGAAGCCTATCGTCACAAACAACCACTGTATTACGGCGTCAGCTGGCCTTCATCATCTACATGCGTTGGAGGAACTAGGCATATGTTGTCAAGAGATGAAGTAGTAACAGTATGGATGGAGATAGTAAACAATGGAAAGATGTAAGAGAATGAATACACTGAAGAAACCATGTAACCGACTGGCATGGTAATAGTGGTTGGGCTATATAGCCCAACCACTATTATCATACCAGTTTTTATTAGTTTAGAGACTCATATCTCTAAACTAATAAAAATTAGTGAACTATTAATTTATTTACATCAAGATTTTTATCTATTTATATATATATTATTAGGGAGGAGATAATTGTTATTAGTAGGTACTAGTGGGCTCAATACAAGCAATGTCCTATAAGATCAAACTCCACGCTCTCCTTAGAAACATGCTGAATTCGTCACGATGTACTCTAATTGACTTGACTTCAACCTCATACTAAACTTATCTTTTACTGGTGCCTGGGCACTGTTACCGCGGACTGATATACCATTTTATCATCATCCATAAAAGAAAAAATTCGGTATTATTAGGATAATCATAATTAATATGTAAACCCGCAGTTTTAAACTTTTTTCTTGATGTACTCGTATTGTACACAAAATAAAACAAAAACCGACATTACAAATATTTTCGCTTATAGATATTTAAATGATAACTGTCGTGAATACGGTGCATTATTTGTTTATTCGATTTATATTATCTGATTTATCTACATATTTCTTGTTGTACTTATATTGTTATACCTTCTCAAAAACCAACTAAAATACAATATTACTTATATGACATTTTCTTTTCAGCTGATTGATGACATCCATGAACAAGGTAATATTTCCATAAGTAATAGTTTGTTAAGACGTTTGTTATTAAGTCACGTTAAAAGTGAAGAAATTTGGTGTACATATATTATAGATCATATCCTATATATATAGAAAATAATTAGCCAGTGTTTAAAAATTATATTGTCATTCAACTATTAGAGATATTGTAGACCGATTTCTTTTTACGAACGGAATCTTCATAGATGTGCGCTGCTTACCCCGACAAATTGTTGGAGATCATTCTTAATGTCACGACAAATTGTGACAAGCGGTGCAAGTAATTTTAAAGTTCATGACATCACATATCAAAATCGAATACTCTATTAAACACGAAAATTGAACTGTTAAATAAAAATATTTCCATATTTAATAATTATGTTTATAAAACATTTGAGGGAGAATGGAAGGGAAGGACAGACGTGACCAGCCGTGGCAAGAATCGGGGGAATGGTTAAAATAATTAAATTCGTCTTACTTAATGTACATGTAATTTATGAATGATCCCATGGCATTCATCATCTACTAACAAGGATTCTACATGTTTTCAGCTCGCAGATCGACGGTATCGCTTCGTGTAGTAACCCTCGGGATGGAAGACTCATTTTCGATGGGATCTGGTACTAGTAACAAATCGCGCAAGTCTACGCGATGATAACTCGAGGAAACCTCTCGCTTCGACATTTTGAACAATGACGTAATAAAATTATTTTGTTCATCTATGTATAGGATAGTGTACAAGAGATTGAGAACGCATGTTTTTGTAAACATAATTAATGTTTGAATAGACAACATGGTATTTAAAAATGTACTATAAACTTTTTAAAGGATTTGTATAACATATACATTAAATTTTCTACCTATCTAAAGAATTTAATTGAATCTGATTTAAACAAAATTATTTATGGAACAAACTGAACAAAATAAAAAGTGCAAAGGTCATCGTAGGAGTCAGTGCAATGTCGTCTGCGTTCTGTCTTATCTACTTTGACTGCTAGCAACATCTTTTCGAATTATTCGAGTTCATTTGAAGTGTGTTATGAAATAGAAATTGAAAGTCTTCAGGAATGATAAGGTAAGAGGATGTACTTTGTAGTCTGTGGCGTGGTATATATCTATAGTCAACAATTTCCACTTTACATCAGGTCGGCGGAGATTCGTCATTTCTTCAAGTTCAATAGAAATTTTATTTTGAAGTCGGTGTAATACATTTCTTGAATATTACTACTTCATTTACCAAGTGCCGCGCTAGATTTTTTTCAGCAAAATTATGTACAACTTATGAAAAGGGTATATACAGTTTTTTTGTACCTCATTGGTGATACTCAAACATACGGCCCACCTGAGGTTAAATGGTTATAGTATAGTAGCCTATGGACGCCGAAAACACCAAGCACGTTACCGACACTTAAGAAACCTTAACATTACCCTTGTTGTAATTAAATAACTTCTTTCTTATCTTTTGTATGAATGCAATTTAATTGTAATTCAGTGTGATGCCAACAAATTACTTATTTATATTGTACTAGACTAAAAAAAATCTAGACAAATTATAAAATAAAATAGTTATATTAACTATAATTTCCTGTGTATTTTTTAATGATCCAGCTTTATTCGATCTTTGTGAAAATTTGTGTATTACTTTAGTAAAAAGTAGCTATTTTAATCGTGATATTAGTTTACTTGGTTCTGCTGTTTTTCTACGTATACAAAAAAAATATCAAGACCAATATGCAGATATTTTCATAAATACAAATGCTTGTATTGTGCGGGAAGTAGTATTGAATTACACACCAAGGAGGTGTAGTTCAATACTACTGACATTATTATTTAGGTACTAAAGGAGTTTTAGATTAAATAAATAGTAAAATAATATTTTATTAATTTATTACAACATTTTAGAATTTCTATATTCCACTGTTGTGTACAGCTTGTCATTTATATTGGAATTATAAAACGTGGAAACATTGGCAAGAACATAAGATTTTATAGACAATAAAACCTTAGTATGGTGGGATGCAATTTAGTAGAGTTATTGTCGAATGTACTTATTATTAAACTGTGAGTCTCATAAATTATTTACGATAATGTGTATGTTTATAATAACAGATCCCCTATTTGCGCAGATACAACTACACAAGCTATCTAATCTACGGATGCTACAATAGAAAGTTCATTCTAAGTATGTAAATCAAGTAAGTACATTCTGTGCTCATACTAATGTTGGATTCACTGCATAGTGAATCTTATGCACAATAGTAACTAAGTATTGACTTGCGATGCTAATACATATTTCTACAATTTTATCAAGACTACAAATATGAAACGCTGAAGGCACAAGGACTTTGAAATCATTGTTGACTGTCAAGTTCAGCCTTACATACAATTACCATTTTATAGTCTAATTATAATCAATAGGTACTATAAGAAAGCTACCAAAATTCGACATCATTAATTTAATTAACCAGCCTTTATCATAATCCAAATAAATGGAAATATGTTTTTTAAACAAGTTTATTGTACCATAAGTGACGGCAGTAATATATCTATGGTTCTATTCACACCATAAATTACACAATTTCGATTTCCACATATCTGGGTGCCCACTTGATATTACTAATCCGTGTTTATTCGAACATTTTCTTTGACACACTCGTATCATGAGCAGAATTAAAATGATGGGTAGTGGAGTAGTGACATAATTAAATATTAGATAACATCGAATAATAAGTCTGTCGATATAGACTTAAATTAAATCAAATTAGCATTGTAGAAAATGCCGAGTTTTCGATCAGAACTTCGGATTTGTCATTTCATTGTATACTGGTACGCTACTTATTTATGGTATAAATACTCGGTATTCTAAAAAAATCGCAGTTTTAACAATCCACTTAAGCCTCTATAACTGCTCCTATATTATTATAATAAAACAATAATTATGAATACAATTATAGTAAATATAAAAATAGTTTTCGAGAAGTAATTTCACACAGTAGTCAGTTCTATTTAAGGAATCTTATATAAAATAATAGTTCCCTATATTATTACGAGGTACGACAGTTGAATATTTAAACAAAGACATTGACTGACTGAATAAAATTTCTATAAACTAATTTTCTAAAAAAAACTACTCCATAAACTCATAAAAATTGGAACCAATCTGAAAGTATTCATAGAAAAAAATAGATTTTATTATCACTTATAAATGACATTTACGAATAACGTTAGAAAAATAGCCGACACGAGATGCTGCTCCTTTTTTGGATTCGGTTAAAAAGAATTACAATATTCTAATACGTAAAAATTCGGCTCAAGTGTTACATCGACATAAGCTTATGCGTATCCTGTGGACTTCCTCATTGTAGTAGCTACCCTGTACCACGGATGACAAAACAAGGATTTTGTCCATCTTAAAATAAAAAAAAACAGTGGTCCGATCATGCTTAAAGGTACGAGAATCGAGAATTGTGTAATTTTAGATAGGTTGAGATATTGTTTAATTTTAGAACAAGTGATCTTGGGTTCTTTCTATCTCGTCCAAATCCTATACATATATATTTAGTACATAACTAAGTTTTGATAATTGTGTAGGCCTGTTAGGATTAAATCCTAATTAAAAAGACCATAAGGCTTAGATATAAATGACTATTTCAGTTTCTTACTAGGTAAGTATTCAGATGTCTGAGTAAATATGAAAGATAAGTGACACAATATAAAATCAACATTAAAGGCCGGTGAGGAAGGGGAAATCACGGTTTACATTTATGATTGCTAAAATAGATAAACATAATTAGAATAACGCAGAAGAGTATATGTAAATTTGTAGTTGGCATCAAAGGAATTGTGTTATGTAACTCTTGAAAATTCTAAAACATTAATTTGTATGGGATATTTTGGTGACAAAAGAATAATACAAAATTGGGGCTTATATCTTTTGTAAATCTACCCTCAGTTCAGCCTGTAGTTCCGATTGAGCAGAAAAACTATGCTATATAACATAATAAAAATATTCTATTGAATTTTTAATCTTAATAAATATTGAAAGTTCAATGTACAATATTTTTTAACGATCTAAATGCAAATGAATTTAGGTTGTAGTAGGTAACTTTCTAATTGATTAATTAATTAATCCGCTAACAATTACATAATTACTAAATTATATGTGAAATTTGAAAGGTTGGTCATAATAAGATTAAAGCTCCGAAATATAAAAAAATATTACTAGTAAAATTATATGGTATGAACCTATAATTTCTAGGTACTCGAATATTAGTTTTATTCTATTATATAATATATATACTGGCATTGTTCAATATTAATTACACACTACAGTTATGATATAGCAATGTAGGCTCATCATTTGCTGATATGAACTGCAATGAAGAAGCTTTGGGTTTTGCATAAAAGTATGAGTCTGTTTGTGAATATTTTGATATAATTATTTAATACAAAACTAATCATAACTTGTGGTAGTAAGATATAAACAACTTTCTTTCTAGTTTCACTTTACAATATCCATAACCCGATTGAATGTATATACATAATAATAATAAATGGCACTAGAAGATTACATCACTCCCATAATATATTTACTTAATATTTTTAGTAAGTACTATTTATGGATAAATAGTACATGTAATGAAAAAATATTTCCATATAAAATTACTCATCCTGTGTTATAGTTTTAAATAACTACTTTCGTCTTTACTAAATTATGCCAAATAAATAATGTATGTATGTATATTGTGTCATTTACCTAACTTTGATACATTATTAACAATATACTAAACACAAATACAAAACATGTAACTTAAATATAATTAAAATAAATAAAAACAATACATACAAAAAATAAATTCCATCTGGATGTAATGACATGGTGAATGAGCAAATAATCAACATTTTATATGACTATTGGATGAATTTGTAATTGTTTAAAAAATTGTAAAATTTTTAATGTTTAAGTTATACTTTAGTGTCACATTGTTGTCTCAGCAATTGAATATTCTAAGGGCATTATCCAAACACAGATTTTTGTTCTAACACTGTTTAACACAAACAACTACATGACATTTCACCACCAATTTCACCTACAAATAATTTTAGCTATTCAACAAACAGGACACAATGGCTGGAATAGGAACTACCCAAGCCGAACAGCATGGGGAATTCAATGGTGAGCAGACCATGAGAAACTGGTCTGCAGCGGGCTCCCCGAACCAGGCGACGCCGGCTACGTTTCTCCTCACGTCGCCTCATCGGTCTTTCACTTATTTCAAACAGTGTTAGAATATCAAAGCGTCATAAGTCAGGAAACCGTAATGGGTCTTCTATAAAGTCTTCAGGTATAATGAATAGTTCTTCAGGAATATCATCACGAAAATCAAATTTTTGAAATGTAATTTTTGCAGTTACAGTGGGTAAGATAGGTATATCAATTTTAACAGGAAATCCTTTAGGCAATTTCATTGCAACAAATTGACGTAACTTTGCAAAGTGTTTGAATGGTGCAATCACTTCTAGAACATTTAACAACATCTCTACACTGAGAGGAAAATCATCACTCATGGCTATTGTGGCTCGAAAATTCCTAGATGACTCCTTATATACTACTTCTCTACCAAGACCAGGATACTGACCTGGTGAAGATGATATGTATGATGCCCAGTCTACGTTGCTTTCAGGAGGTGGGTTTAATGATGCTCTTCGTGCTGGTTCTCCATTGGTATCTAAATTATGTGCATTACCTTTAGTGAGACTTTCTATGATAGCTTTATTTTTCTGTAAATCATCAGTAGACAAATGTTCACGTCTTTTACGTGATTCCAAAACTAAACCTGTGATTGTATAAATGTCGCTTTTATATAAACCAGCTACTGTTTCTTTGCGGTCCTCTCGAAATATCCAACCTGACTGGGCTCTTGAAAATGCAATACCTTTGGTCGACATCTGTGCAGCCAATATATCACTTGACATTAAAATATCCACTTCATCCTCTATTTCATTTTCTGTTTCCTCATATCTAACCCGTTGATATACTTTGGCTTTATTATCTAAGACTGTTAAGGATTCACTTGGTGGTTTTTCTCCCTGGAAAATGAATGATATATCTCCTCTTTCCCATTTCATGTCGCTAAAATCTACTAAAGTAGTGTCTAATCTGATTCCAGAGCCAGCTTTGTATATCTTGCAAACATCAGAAGGTAATATTCTAGATACTAGTGGCACCCAAGAGTGAAAGTCCCACTTGAGTTCCATATAGAAGTCTTGTATTTGAGCAAGTGCTCTGATGAGATCTGGTCTTCTATGTTCCATTTGTTCGCGCGCTTGTAGTTTAAGCTTGCGTACAAGGGATGATATGGTTTGGCGGTCGCCATAACTAATAGCTTCTGCGAGTGGTGACCAGCCAGCGAGATTTTTTACTTTAACTGGTGCACTATGCGCTATGAGGAGTTGAACGCATTCTTTACGGCCCAGCATTACGGCCAGGTGTAATGCTGTGTTTCCATGTTTGTCCTTACGCGTCACATCGTGGTTCCTCAACAGTAATGACAGCTTACGTACATCTCCTATAAACACACATTCGTGGAGAGGAAACGACTCTTCTTCTTCACAGCAAGTCGAATTAGACATTTCGCAAACGCTAGTCGTTTTAAATCATCACTGGCAAGATGCAATAATTAGTGAAAGCCTAAAACAATTTTGAAGATAATCTAATCAATGAGATAAGAAATACTTCGGTGAAAGTACCTGTTTCATAGCTAACCAAATTTAAGTTAATTTCGTTGTTAGAAACACCGATATTTATAAAACTTATTTTTAAAAACATAATATTTTTGAGTGATTAAAACAAAATAACAATTTCATTTACAAAAGGATATATATGTTCCATTTTTTAGCTGAATTACCACAGACAGAAGAATAAGCAGTAAGTAGTATAATGTGAATGTGAAATTGTGAATGATTTTAAGCGAATACTGCCAAAGATTTGAAATGACATATACTGACAAATAAATTCAGTCACAGACCATTTAGAGAACTGTTAGTGTAGCATAGAGTAGAATCAACCGATTTTACCAAAATTAACGGTTACGAGATTCTTGCTTTTTCGTTTTCGTTACAAACAAAATATAACTTTACTTACGTCAATCTCCCTTAGATATTGAATTATGAAATGTATAACCAAATTTTTATTATATATATTACGAATTTAATAAGTTATAGTAATGGAATTCCACCTTAACGAATAATTACTTTTTATTACTTCATTTACTGGATAAATAAAAGAAACTAATTATTAATTAATAGTTTGTTTCATTGTTTAACATATATACTACTTCATTTTATTCCATATGGAATCACTATTTATTACTCTTAACTTTTATTAAACTCTTCCTAATGACCTTGCAAGGAACAGGCTTCATATAAGGCCAATATTATAAATCGCTCATTCAACTTAAAACTTGAGTTCTAATAATCAAAATATCTGCTTTTTGTAATATCTGCTATATGAAAAGATCTTTCTTTTAAACGAAAAATTAAAAGTTCAACAATTCAAATTTTCTTTAAAAATCTCAATAAACATACTTTAAACACCGTCGTATAACTAAGAGTCGTATATATAAGAATATATATATATATGTAAATTAGTTAAAAATTATAAAAATGCGTATTATATTAATAAAAAATAAATTGCCAATGCGTTTTAGAATGATATTGTAAAAAAAATATTTGCCTACAATGGCCTTCTTATGGGTCCGTTTATTGTAAGGCCAAAATGTTCCTAAAAATTCCAAACTGTCATTTATCATCTCAACTAACTTTTCTTTTAATAAATGTAATAATAGACATTACAAATACGTACTGTATTTGTAACTAAAAACTGTTTAGTTTTATGATTTGCAAATGTTCCCTATAAGGCCTTTGCACCCTAGTAAGGCCAATCGTCAAAATTTTAATTGGCCTTATACGGAACCTACCGATATTTTAGCTGAAATCGAGGCAAAATTCTTTTTTTTTCTTATTTAGTACCATAACCAATCCTTATATGATAATTTTCAGTAAAAAAAAATGTAGTACTAATGTTATTTTCTTTAACTTACCTTTTGCTGTGCCCGCGAATTACAATTTTGTCGTCGACGACCGAAGTCTATGAATCGACGAACAAAATATACATAGACGCAGCGGCGAATCGCTCGAGTTAGCGACTCGAGCGATTCGCCGCTGCGTCTATGTCATCAAACTTAAGTAAAGTTTGATGAAACTTAATATGAATGGAAGAAATTTGTTATCACCTGACAATAACTAGTAGTTTTTCATAGTTGGGCTTCAAAGGAGCATGGCCTTTCATGGTGCCTCCACCTTATTTATTAATCCTTATCCAAATAAATTATTTTGTATTCAATATTGATTCAAAATCTGCAGAATACTTTTGAATTTTTCAAATCGTAGGCGTATATTCATTCAGGTGTATATTTCATATATTCCATTCATCAGATCAAGCAATTTTCAGTGTCTGAAATGCTCATGACGAAGTTGAAAATTATTTAATCGGCCTGTACATCAGTACATCTGAACAGTGTGGAGGTTGTTAGATTTTCCTATAGGTACATGATAGACACCCTACCGACAGCGGAAAACATACAAAACAGTAGAAAATCCACCAAAAACGACACTCACGGCATTTTATAACCTTTGCAGTAGTGACGGATTTGCCACAACTCTACTCGATGTTAACTATAAATTTTCTAGAAGGAAACGTGGGCAAGACGTAGCTGGACACCCCGACATAAAAAAAGATGCGGCATTGGGAAGAGTATATTCCCAGTCAGAATGTTTTTATCTCAGGATACTACTTCATCATGTACCTATGTGGCCCAGCATCGTTTCAGGACTTAAAAACAGTCGATGTAATTGTTAAAGAAACTTACAAAGCCAAAAGAAAAGATAGAGGTTTGCTAGAAGATTAGAAAAAAATGTAAAAATATCCACCCGTGCGAAGCCGAGACGGGCCGCTAGTATGTTATATTTATGTAGGTACTTTTAATAAAAAATATTTTATGTTATTAGTTATAATATATTATAGACGCTCAATTGTCAAAATTGTCTGTTGCATCATTACATCCAATAGGTATTTTGTAATGAATACCTACATACATTTTGATTGCTGCAGTTTCACTATGATGAAATTTATTATTGGTGTTTTATCTTTTATATATTTATACCTACCTACACATAAATTAACTATTGCTATTCGCAGCAGAAGTCGTAGTCTCACTAACCGCTTGAAAACCTTGATTATTTATATTTTGTTTTGTTCGCTATAATACCCGATAGATACATATACGGACAGTACATGTCTAAAAAAAAGCAATTCAATTGAGTGTCTTGCCATTTCTTCTCAAATGAAATCTATATACCGAACTGGACGGTAGGGAAAAAAAATTAAATGTAATGTAATAATTTGACGTTCATAAGCGGCTAAAATGTCCTAACCGAATAAATGTTTTCTGAATTTCAATTTGAATTTATTATTAAAGTGTATCTATTTAGTTAGTTGCTGGTATATGGTAATAGTGGCTGCGTATTTTCGATGCCAACTGTTGCATTCAATATGTCGTACGTATGTATTGTTCTGTTTAAAGCATTTTGTTTTAGTTGAGAGACAATAACAGTTTCATAACGCGTACATCAATTTTCAATGTCATATGCTGGAACACTGTTCGGAATGAAATAGATGGGTTTCCGTTTTTTATTAATTATTTAAGAGTTGAGGATAGAAACTAAGCTGCATTTTGCAATTGTGAAACTAAGCTGCATTTTGCTCTACGTTCACAATTGCAAAATTAAAATAATAATTATTACCTACAGTTTATAGTTAACTGCAAAATTGTATATTTAATTGTTTCAAATAAAAATTGTTAGTAGCATATGTAAAGTCTATTATTTTAATTATAACCATTACCACAAAAGAAATAGAAAACACATTTAATTAAATTAAATAAACATTCTGTAGGAATAATATTTTTAAAGGAAGAAAATAATCTTAACACATCTCAGTCAATGAGGCATATTTAATCAAAAAGTTGCCGTGTCTATCACATACCACCATCTAATAGAAGTAGTAACAAAAGCGGGTACATCATATCACGATCGCTACCTCCTCCTCTAGTTATGATTATAGGAGTTGGCGGTGGTACGAAGGCACCTGACATAGCCGGGTTTCCGTAATTGTACTGGCAAGATATAGTGGTAAACTGTGAACAAATAAAAGAATATAAATTATGACAGTCGCACTCTGTTATTGTAAATTGATACAAATATTGTATTGTAACCTTTATTGGAATAAAGCTGTTTGAATTTAAATTACAATAAAATGAAAAAATGAAAGATGGATCTTTCATTCTAAGTATGTTTCTATTATTTTATAACACTTTATTTACCTAATATTAAAGACAATTTTTTTCTTTACTGGTGGTCACTCATTTCTTTCAAATTTGAATTTAAAAAAGAATTTCTATTTTTGAAATCATATACAAGTTACAATTTTTTAAAAGAATAAGATCGGAGTTTCTTGTCTGCATGGTATTCCAAAACAAAATAAAGCATATGAGAATTCTTTTACTACGACTGATACCTATGTTAAAAAAAAAAGCATTGTTCATTGCGTAATTAAAACAGTGGTTTTGTAAAAAAACTTGTAAAAATTTATGTAATCAAGTAGTACAAATAACTCCTGATGCAATACCATCTAATGTGTAAAAACCGCTCTACACAAACTTCCACACCATATATTGTTTTAAATTCAAGTTGCAAGTTACAGTTGTACTCGTATATAGGTGCCAGTGGGCACCCTCCAGGCTGTTACCTACCCTAAATATATTAATCCTAAGGAACTCTATTTACTAGCAAACCTATGTAAGGTATGACCCAATATTAATTAACAATGATAATGTGTAGACAACGACTTAATTTAAAAGTTAAGTGATCAAAGTATACATACGCTGAGAGCAAATAAAACGCAGAGACAAATGAAAACTTTTGAAGTCATCTTGCTTGCACACTTGCACACTTTAAAAAAGTACTATGTTATAGATTTGTGATACCTAGTATTTATAGTTATAACATATTACCACACTATATTATTAGCAATAGAGTTTAGGTACTGTTGCTGATAGTATACATATTTTTAATATTTTATAAATGATGCTTGAGCACGTAGCGTACTGTTGAGTAAGCATCATAATTATGGACGATTTCTTTCAAATCGATCCTACTGTGACATTTTTAAGAAATAGGTATGTTTGACCTTAATATAGGCCGCGGTCATTTTGACATGCAGAAATTGCTTTCTGCCTAATTAATAAAGCAAATATAGGTACCTATTCTTGTCTCTTAGAAGACATTAAAGATTCACATCGCATTTAGCTATTAGGTAAGTACTGTACTACGTGATGGGTACCAACCTAAGTAGTTTTTTTAATGTCTGCATATGAGATGGTGCGCCCACCTGCTCTAACGGTGCATACCGATATGGCTATCAGTGGAAGATTTATACAATCATTAAGTCAGGTCAGTTTGCTGGTAGTCCAGGGGGGCGAGGCTAGGAACAATTAGATATATCTTCCTGATACACACATACATGTTCTAAAATCGGTAAAGCTATGAGTATAGAGCAGTATTGGTGGCAACAAAAACTAGAAAGTGGAGATGGTTTCAAAAATTAGTAGAATTAAACGGGTGATTTTTTTATCTATTTCCGTTGCTTATTTTATATAACTCTTTTAGGGGCGAACTACATTAAAATAATCTACTGTAATATCTAATCTTAAATCTAATTTCATGGAATCAGACATTCTCTATAGGTATTGGGTACCTCCAAAGGGTAAATTTAAAAAATATATTAGGGTGGTGTATTTTTATTTCAATAATACGTTTCACATTTGTCAT